AAAACTTTTGTCAAGCCCGAACCGGTCCAAACTCCCGGTTCTCCATGAAACCGGCCTTGACAGTACCGGTTCTTTAATTCTTGGAACCGCATATCACTATACGTAAGATATGCCGTCGAAGTGCGGCAATAAGATGCAATTGAGAGTTAACTAACCAAATGACTAATAAAAATTAAAAAAAAAATTTTAATCCCACCTTGTGCATGGATAACGACTATAATATTATTTATGTACATACATTTTTTAACAAACAATGCACATTATTGTATTAGATATATGTATGTACATATGTATAGATGTTTGTTTTTAAAATTGATTACAAAATTTTAATTAATTTTTGTCACTAATATTTCTAATTCTGTTGACACACCCAGCTCTTATCACAATAAACATGTATGCGAAAATCAAAATAAGTTGATAGCCGATTTTGGAAATTTTGCCAAGCTCACAAATCTTCATGTGAAATAACATTACAATAAATTCCAAAAATAAATAAAATAAAAACATATCAGCTAATCACAAGTTTAGTGACGTTTTAAATACAAACGCTAAAATAAGAATAGCATTTAAATTAGCATTTTATTTTATTATTTATTTATTTTTAAGAATTTTCAATTAAAATACAATTCATTCTCTCACTAAACCCATATAAACCCAAGCTTAAAATTTTGTAGAAAACAAAAAATCAACAAATGTTCATACAAATTTCAAACTTTTCTCAGAAGTGTGAAATATTCAGAAAGCTAAGTGGTTACACGTCCGTCGTTCTCGCTATTAAATATCGAATGTTTCTTTATTCCGCTAACTATTTACAAGATGGTGTCTGGGTACTGTATATATACATATTTTGAAATAAACCATTTGGTAATGAATGAATTTAAAAATATTCTAAGAAATTAAAAGTTTTGCACTGCACATATTTTGCAGTGCATTAGGCAAAAGTTTATCTAGCATCTATCATTAATATATGTACATAGATGTTTAATTTAGTGTAAATGAGATGAAGGATAAATGCTAAAGTATGTGCAAATGTTTAGTGTGTGAAATGCGTACAAATGCGTATACTATGTGACAGCATTGCATGCGTTCCTCTTAAATATAAAGGCATAGTACATACAACAATAATTGTTTATGTAGCGCTCTACTATTTTGTGCAGTCTGCTTGGTCGATTGTATATGGTTATGTCGAACGCCATTAACTACTTGGGAATTGATATTGGCCGCCCGTGTTTCCACTCGTCTTCACAATTATCCATTGACAGTTATGTAGTTCATTCAATTGAAAAACTATTGCTTAGTAAGTAATATGTTGGCATGTTCTAATCAGTGTTTGCAAGCATATGTACATACATATGTATGTATGTACTTGATATGTTTAAAGTAATTTGCATCTCAATCACATTCAATTTAACGCCAATGGGTTAGTCACCAGTCATGACCATTCTATGCAAAGTGAATCGTTAGAAAGCGTTCTTTCACATTTCTTATTGTATGTGTATTTTGCATGCAAAATCATGTGTAACTTCCTCGTACATTGTTTAGAAATTTTCAATCAATTGATTAATGTTTTATTCCTTTATTGCACGTCTTGTAATATGCAAATGTTTTTAGGTATGGACGAATAAAATAACACAGTTATTAAACATGAATATGTATCGCTCATTTCATATATACATATGTACATATGTTTGCACTTATTTTCAATCAATAACGGTCCGGTAGTTTCATGCTCATACACTTCTTATGCTCCAGTGGCTCTGTCCGTACTGATAACTGGTAATGCAAAGTTTGAAATTGGTGGACATATTGCAGGTTTGAGTAATACTAGGAGTTTGTAACTGTTTTTTTTTTTCTTTGTTTCTGTTTTTGTCTCAAGGTCAGCCGGATGCTGTGTATGTTTATGTGTATGTATGTAGTTTGCCCATTAGGGTGGCTCTTAAAAAAAATGACTATTGAAAATGTTTACAATTTTTAATGGAATAACGTTCTGTAGTCAGAATCTGATCTTTAAATTCTTCGGTTGTTTGTAGCAGGGACCGAAAACAACAGTAATTTTTAACCGACTTCGGTTATCTGTTCGTCGGAATATATATTTTTTTTTATGTATGTACCGCATAACTTTGGACCACGTCAACCGATTTCGATAATTTTTTTTTTATCGGAAAGGTTGTACCTCAAGGGTGGTCCCATACTAATTTTGTCCGATAATTGGATCATGAAAAAATTAACGATAATCTTAAATGAGAATTGAAGCCGGTGAAACTTGGCCAAATATTTTGAAGGCCGAAACAAAAGTCCTTTCCTAATAATTAGGGCTCAGAATTTAATGCACTAAAAAATCGAAAATATGCGCTATAAATAAGTAAAATATGCAATTAAAAATATTTTCCTGATACTTTATTGCCAGTACAAAAAAAATAACACTTAAAATACATGAAAAAAGGAAAACAAATTATGTACTTGTAAAATTAGTTTAATAAAATAGACAGTTACAATTGTAACTGTACTATTATAGTAATTGTAATTGTAATTGTAATATTAATATTGTGTAAATAGAAACATTAATAGTTGAATAGTGGTTCAGATGAATGGTTGGTTGGTTTAAGTGAATTGTCAGCCTGGTGACACGCAATTAGCAAGTTTGCCATTTTGATTCCACAACACGTGCAACCTACAGCCCTTTGGTGGCTTTAATGCATTTTAGTACGTCATACAGAGAGAGGCTGCTGCACACTAAAACATTCTGCAGGGATGGCTTGCCGAGTGTCTTTAGCCTCATCCTTGCGGGGTCTGAACACCCGCACAGGAAGTGTTCGACTGTCTGTTTAGAGCCAGGGCAATCGCAACTGCAACAGAGCCTGTTAAAGGGCAATCCAATCCTTACGGCATGTATCCTAATAGGCCAGTTCCCTGTGCAGACCGCAGTAAGTTTAAGTAAAGTACATATCTTATTTTTTTGTTGTTTTGTTACGCATCCTTTCCATACAAAAAATTTGTCGAACACGCATACATATATGCAAAAATATTCGTGAGAAAATTGCCAAAAATCAACTTAAAACTTAAAAATTGCTTCTATAAATTCTTTTTAAAAAGTTTGCAATTTAGATGGAAGTTTGTATTTTCATAACTTTGCACAAGGTTTTAAATTTGGATGTATTCGGTTTTTGTTAGACGATGAACTATATTTAAAAAATAAAGTTCAAATAAAAAAATAAAGCCTATTTATATTTCCACCACTACACATGTGGGCATTTAAATTTGATCTCAATTACAAAGGTTTTTATTTTTATATACATAGTTAAGTAAAAATTGTGTAATATTTGCATCCTTTACCATAAAAAAATTAACCATATAAACCGAACCGAACCGCGGTTCAGGAATACTCATGAACCGGTTCTTGAACCCGTACAAGCTTTTTCTAAGTAGTTCGGAACCACTGCACCGAACCGCGCAGTTTTTTGGAGTGGTTTGCAGCTCTGGTTTGCGCATCACAATTTTTATTTGAGGCAACTAAGCTGAGAGGTAGCACAGAAAATAAAATCAAAACAAGATCCACCCTAATGTGCATACATTTCTACACATTTCGTCAATATGTCTGTACCTGATTTTATGTTCCCATCGGTATTTATTCTAAATGTTGGTGCTACGTTGAATAAATGCCAACGTTTACTCGAAACTTCTCTCACCAATTTTGAACTTGAAAACTAGGTTTGTATGAGTATATATGTTGAAGTTGGCGATGGTATTTTTGGCCGTTATTGTATAATCCATGCATTTCGATTCTGTTTACTAATCTGAGGGTTTTATACTAGAAGGTGTTTACATGTACATACATATATACATATACATATGTACATATTATTGCCCCAGTTGGAAAATTAATGTTTAAGAATGCATGAAGTAATGGATAGCTAGCTCCTATAACCTATGCACGAAAAGATGCAAGAATTTCTCTACAGCGTTGTCATACGAAAGTAATTTGTCGCATGTCGCTTTACAAAACTATAAATAGAATTTATAAAAAAAAAACATCGGTACCTCAGGGCTTGAACCCGTGACCAACAAGTTGGTGGTTGAACACGCTTCCATTCGGCTACAGCAGCTAGAAGATAATTTAGGTAGGCCTTCTTAAGTAAAGCCATTCTAAGAGGTCTACCCAAGAAGGGCTGAAAAAAGTGCTTCCTTGCATGCCTTCTAGAAGGGCTTATCCATTTACAATTTACGCGAATGCATAAATTTATATTATTTAGCATTACAATAAAACATTTTAAGTTGCAATAACACATGTTTGATATAAACCTTAAGTAAATACTTCAGAGATTTATGATTTTTATAACTTAAAGAAGCAACTTTAAATGAACCCCTCCAAAAGGCCTTCGGAAGTACGTCCTATAAAATCCCATCTGGAAGGCCTTCCATGGGTAGCATGGCCTTTCTATTTAACGAACCTACATAACGATTTGTGGCCACCTAAAATATGCACCCAACCTGGCGTATTTCTTAATAGGGTTGCCAACTAATTTTTAATATAATATATTAATTTAAGTTTTATTTAAATTTGCTTCCAAAATATTCTTTTTATTGAATTCTGAGTACGTGTAGGCTAAAATATTGACGATTAGTTTGTATATCAATATTCTTTTTTCAAATGTTTTTATTTTCATTTTGTTTCACATAATATACATAAAAAATATTTTTTCCTATTGACCATAATTTGATGCCCAAATCTTGGAAAATTTAAAAAGCATATACATATGTATTTATTTGTGCATATTTATCTACGAGTATTATAAGTGAGGAGGTGTGGTGCAGGCCATAAGAGGTTCTGTTTTGCGCCGTAATTGCATTCGAGCTGAAAATATACTTATTTTGCGCACTGCAAGCTTTCACTAATTTAGATATTGTTTATATAATACAAAAATAATTGCGCAAAACGCATACATACATATGCACATACATTCATACATAAATATTCATTGTTTAAATTTTGATTTTTTCAGGTCCATGTGGTGGCAAAACAACTGGCCAATCCCGTCTATGCACCTTCTTTGAAAATTTAGGATGGAAGGTATGTTGAATATTAGATTTCCTAAAATAAATCGCTATAAACTTATACGTGTTTTTTTTTTTTAATTTTAACCTTTTTACGGCTAAATTTTATTTACCTTTTGTAAATATTGTTATACCTAATGAGTACTAAACAATATAGATAGTTCTTACTAAAGACCATAGTTGGAGTTTATTCTAAAACAATTAGCGAAAATGCAGGGTTTTAAATTTAAAAAATATTTGGCGCATATTCATAGTATCAGTGTTAAAACTATGCGGCAATTTGAAGGCAACCGCAAATGTAGCGAGTGCTGATTCCTCTTCTACAAAGCGATGAACTGAAACGATTTTTCCTTCATATAAAGAATAAATTATTATAAATTTCTTGTTCCGCGACGACGAATAAACCAATCTTTATATAGAACTTGATGCTAGCTCAAAGGATAGTGCAATCGATGAAAATAAAAAAATGCAATTGATAAAATTAAAAAATTTATTTTCTTTCATCTATGAATATGCGCAAAAAAAATAATCAAATATGCATACATAAAATTTTCGCATACAATGATGTAACTACTTATATGTATTGTGTACGTAGTAAATTGGGATGTGTCCCAGAGAAAGTCTTCGTTTGCCCAAGCGGTTCATAAAAGTTGGTCGGTTTTACGACTCACCAAAATAATTAGTGCCCACTCAATGACATTCGCGAGTAGGAGCGCGTTTTGGTAAAAAAAAAGTATTGTATCCCCAGTGGAAAAATGTGTTCACATTCGAAAATTCATTATTTTTCCCACGACGATGTCCTGTGGAGAGGGCGGCCTAATCCCTGACTTCACTTGACGCAGCAAAAGACTGTCGTGCTTTATTGAACTCGGTCAAAATCTGTATATCGTAGACCTTATTCCGTTTGCGAGGGTACATGGTTACTCATAACCTGGACTCTATTGAAAATATTTTAATGCTAAAGAAATAATTAACCTGTTCACCACCCACGATTTCATATATTTTCATTTGAAAGTCGTACAAAAAAAATCTCCTTGGGGAAAGAACTAGCCTTTTTGAAACTTTAATAAATTTCGTTATTTGGCCAAAACAACACAGATAAACAATATTTATTTCCGCGATATTTTAAAATGTGTATTTACATCATTGTATAAGCGTCATATTTTCCATCACTAACGGGTTAAATATTGCTGTGCTGAGTATCCACAGTAGAGGTGTAACCAAAATTTTAAAATAAGTTCATATTAATCTAGCGATGTGGTAGTACATAAATTAAATATGGTACGTACCGTTGTGGTCAGCTGATTTAGTTAAGTGATATTTTGACCAGTTGTGGCTATTTTTTTCTTTTATTTATTTTATGTTTAATATTTTTTCATACAAGCCTAGCATATTATATAACCTGCACCCTATACATATAGTAAATCGATTTCGAACTTTGTACAAAAATTATAAAAGTTCAAAAAAACTTTATCAGTTACAACCAAACATTTCAAACTTTTTATTCATAGTTTTTAGAAAAATTTTAGGTATGAAGTTTTAGTAGGATAAAGTGCAAGTTTCAAGACGCTGGAAATCGCGTAAATTTTTAATCATATTTTTGCTGACGGTGCTAAGCATTTTCTTCCATATAAAAGAAATTGAAGAGCATACTTTATATGGAAGAAAATGTACAAAAAAAATATTGAAAATAAACCTACTAAAATTTAATGGGCTAAAAAGTTCACACCTGAAATTTGAATAATTTTTTTTTTGTTATAATTGATAAAGCTTGTTGAATTTTTATAATTTTTGTACAAAGTTTAAATTGTGGATTTATATGGTGTTGGTTATATAATCTGCTAGAATTTATAAAAAAATAATAAATAAAACAAATAAAGCCAAAACTCGTCAAAATGTCACTTAATTCAATCAACTGACCACAAGTGTATATAAAAGTAATGGTATCCACATAGAGCTGAGTACTCCTACTTCCTATATTGTATGAATATATTTAATACTTGTTACTCAAAAAAAAAAAACAAGCCTCATTTTGCTATTTAACCGGGCGAAAAAAGTAGCACGCTTGCTAAAACATATTGAAAACTAAAAAAAAAACGGTTTAAACATTTTTAAATTTAATTTTTTCATTTCAAACTTTTACTTCAAAGCTAGAACATGACTTGAAAAATAGTTAAACTTACATTTTTAAGAAAACCCTATGTAATAATTTTTTTATAATTCCCAAAATTTAAAATAGTTAATGGTGTTTTCGTTTCTACCAAAAAAATGTCGCCAATTGATTACCCCTTTCTCTTTTCGTGTTCGATTCTAAAATCTCACCAATTTTTAAAGCAAAAAAGGCCCATTCTCCGCTATTTGAAGCTTTGTCAGGGGAGATCGTCGACCTGAAAATCAGATGGTTGCCTAAAAGGACAATATTATGAAATGCGTGAGCTAAACAAGTGCCCTTTTACAGGGTTGAGTGTAAATCAAACACATTTTTCATCGTGGAAGGGCAACATTTTTTGGAAGAAACGATATCACCGTGAGATAGGCTACGAGCTCAAGCAAAATACTATTTGAAAGTAAAAACAGTATCATACTACGTATGAAATTCAGAATAAACAAGTATTACTTGAGCGGTTTATTTTGAAAGTGGCATAAGTCACTTCACAGTTCTTGTACTTAAATTACCGGTTATTGGTAAATGAACGCGTCCGTTATTCGTTCAACTTCATCAGAAAAAAGCTAAAAGGCTTTGTCGTTAGTTTATGACGATAGAGCAATTTACAGATGTATTGGATTACAAGTAACCCGTCATTTAAGTACAAGAGGTACGAAGTGACTTATGCCACTTTTAAAATAAACGGCTCATTTATTGTCACTCAATACCAAAAAAAAAAACCTCTATCCGACTTTTTCCGGTTTTCGATCCCCAGTAAATTTCTGTTCTGGTTTTCACAAATTAAGTATTTTTTCGATTTCAATTCCAGAACTTACTACTGTGCAAATTGATCGAAATGCAGTCGAACGAATGATTATGTACATTAAAGTGGTCCAAAAATGTATGTGAAAAAATAAGGTCGGATTTTTAATGCCGCCACCCCTAGGATTGTTCATACCGAAAAAATATACCGCTATATTTTATTTTGAAACAATAAAAAATTTAAGGAGTGCTCAAAGCGCTCAAAGTTGTCCATGTATTTTATATGGGGAAAAAACAACTTTTCGTAGAAATAGTGTAGAATTCTTGAAAATCAATATTTTTCGATCGGAAAACTTTGCTTATCTTCGGGAGATTTCCAGTAATAATACCCAATTGTTTTTTTTTTGCCATTTTTTCATGGTAACTATATTCCATAGGCCCTCCAAAACCTCCAGAAAATGCCATGAGGGGACCAATAAAAAATCTTTTATTAAAAAATGATCAAATAAACAATTGGATATTAATATTGGAAGTCTCCTAAAGAGAACCACAGTTCTCCAATTGAAAAATACTGATTTTCAAGAACCAAGCGGCATTAAAATTCCGACTTTATTGTTTTGGACCACTCTAATGTGTACATATATGAAAGAATACTGAGCACCAGCAAATTTGTGGGCACCGGAACAGACCCGCTTACTTCAAATTTATATTCAATAGACTTTTTTTTAAATTTTGTTAATTACAACGATTCTTTTTTTTAATGAACAAAAACCCGTTAGTAAAAATGCCATTACATACGTTAGCAAAACGATTTAAGAAAAAAAAAAAACAAAAACAAATAAAAAATTTAAACAATTACAATCTAATAGTTGCTAATCGACCATGACAAACAAAATGAGCTTTTAATAATTTTTTCAGGTATTCCGTGTGCCTGAAACGGCTACAGTGCTCCTCAGGTAAATGCCTAAAAACAAATTAATTCAATGCAAAAATTAAGAAAAAAAGTATTAAAAAATTCTTTCAATAAAAAATGAGAAAACATATGTTGGCATTAAACTAAATTATAAGAAATGTAAAGAATTCGTGAAAGACCTTAGCAATACTAACATTGAAAATAAACAACTATTAATATTTACAAAGTACTCGTACATTCTATACTTTAATTAAAATCAAATACTGCCAGCAAATACATGCATATACAAATGTATTCAAGCTGTGTGAAATAAAGTACAGTAGTAATTACTTATGCAATTATATAACATTTACAATACAATTTTTTTTTAATATAATTTTCACTAATTAACAAAAGAAAAACACAAAAGTCAATTGTCAAATTTGCATATTTCCGAAGTTTGAAAAAATTATTCGTCAATTCTTTTTTGTGTGCTAAATGTTTTTCTTTAGTAATTATTTTACTTTTTAATCTCTTCCTCTTTTGTGTAAATCTAGTGGTGGCGTGAAATTCTCGGATCTCACAGATAAAGAAGGTAATTAATCATATATTTGCTATTTACTGATTATAAAAATATTTTTCAATTATAATAGGAATTTTTCAAGAAGGCTTTAAAGAAATAATTGCAAGCAATAAAAATGCAAAAAAACATAAGATTTTTAAATGATACCCAAAATTAAAATATTTTAAAAAAGTGAAGTGCGCAAGTGTTTAATAAAGCTTGTTTTTTTTTAGCGTCCAACTTGTTAGACAGATACGCTAATAACGGCTTTCGAGCGTCAGTCTCAAATAGAATCAAAACTGTGATGTAAACGAATTGAAGATATTCATCGATATCCCGAACGTTATCGATATGATTATCGCTGTCGTTTTATGTAGTAAGAAACATTAGATAGTAGTTTTTTTTTCATTTTGCATACAAAAACCTCTAGGACGTATTATTTGGCCCTATAAATGCTTTTCGGCTTGGGCTAAGAACAAAAACTCCAATGTCCAATTTCCTCTTTTCATTGAAAAGTTACGGCAGTTATACAAACCAAATGTAGACTGGTACTTTTGCACTTGGATCTTCCATTGTATTCGTAGGCTCCCTTGCCTTTGTGGCCCACCCATGAGTGCCAAGCCGAAGAACATTTTCACCGAAGTGTCATCATCCATGCGTACGACATGTCCAAGCTAGCGCAAGCATTCAATCTTAAACGCGTTTCACAACATATATCCATGTCATTGTAAAGCTCGGTTAGTTCCTCATTTCAACTTCTTCGATACCCGTCTCGCCCACGCGAACATTGCCGTAAATCTTGTTAAGAACTCTTCTCTTGAAAGGCCCCAGAGCCTCCTCATCTTTAATCGACAACGACTATGTTTCTCCGGACATGATGAGAGATGTAAATCGGAGACATCTTAGCAGTGTTGCCAATTTTTTTTTTCAAAGACTTAATTTTCCGCAAAAAAATGACGTATTTTCAACAAAAGACTGTAAAATTAAAAAATAACCGATTTTATCAAACGTAAATAATTTTAGATAAACATAAACTGTGTGTCATCCATGTAAACATACATAATTAAAAATAAACATAAACTGTGGGTTATCCCTATCAAATCAACCAATGGTTGGAATCGACTGTTTTTGATTTGGGTGGATTTTGGTTAAAACCTTTCTTTATATATAAAAAAAGTTCTGCCAAAGCAAAAAATGCTGGTTGTGGTCTCATTTTAAATGTGGTATTTAGGGCTGTAAAATAAAATTTGAAATTAAAAAATCTTAAGAGTAACAACTTATAAAAATTTTTTGTTCATTTTTTATTTTTATTTTTTTCCAACAATACCTCCCACCAATCTTAACAGATCCAGCCTATTTTCGTATCTATACCTATTAGTTTTTGGGATTATCAAATAATTATCTTGCAAAATCTAGGAAATTGTGTTATACATAAAAATAAAAAGGGCATGTGTTCGTCGTCGCATCACCTGAGAACGACGGAACCAATTTGGCATTTTTTTTTGTTTTTATGATATTTTTTTCCGGAAGTTTGACCAGAGACAAATCAGTTAAAAAAGAATCGTATTTATGATCCGATTTGCTGGAGATTTGACACATAGATTGCTTATTGCCTGGATTAACATATAGAAATCTTTTTTTCCTGTAGGTACATATTACAGATATAGAATAGAATTGAATCATTGTTTTACAGTTCGAAAGGTGTTTCAGGGCGTATGGACGTTACGCGTAGATTCCTTTGAAATCTTGGCAAAATGTTTCATTCCTTTCGGGGAGGTTTTTAATTTAATTTTGATTTGGGGTTATCACCCCTTTTGAAATTTAAAATTAATCAAATAGGCCACTGAAGCAAAGTATTAGGTACTAAATTTTTTAACAAGAGAGTATTCTAAAATATTTTAAAAGTAGCTTTTTGGGAAGGTTTTAATACAAATGTATTTTAATAGAGTTGTCAGCTATTCAATTTTCACTGGAATATTTGTCAATAAAAGTGCAACCACTCTAAAGTGGTTCCCTTTCAATGTACATACATATTTAGCGTAATCGATAAATGCATATCGTTAAATAGCTGTGTTTGTATGGAGTCGATACGATTTGTAGCCTCGAATGCAATTTAAGTGAAACGAGATTTTTTTTAATCAATTACAGAAAGTAAAAAAATCATTTGTTGCACTTAAAATTTCTGGTGAAACCGGCGCTTTCTGTCACTATTCCGACTATCTAGAATAAATACTGACGTACATACGTTAATATTGTGTGAATAATAAAAATCAAAGCATCCTTTAATTTAGTGGAAAGGTAAATATTTACCCAATTATTTACATATTTACTTGCCATCTCAAAGGTCACGTTCTTGGTTTCGCCATTGTCAAAGAATTTGAGGAAATATTTATTTCTAACTCGCCCTTTTTATTTTTCACTTAATGTACATTCATACATACGTTCGTATGTATTTGTGTAATTCGCCGGCTAGCGTTGTTGCCTCAACGTCTAAGTAGTTGCACTGTGCCAGACCAATGTCAACTTACGAAACATATGCTTTATTATACATACATACATACATAGTATGCACTAATGTATGCACATTCATATATTTGTACATTCGTTCGTAGGTGCTGTATTTAATGCAGCTGACTAAGTACACACTTTGTTACATTTAACTTTGTCAACTCAGGTGGTACAAAATCCCATCGGCGTCAGTTGGACATTTGTCAGTTATCCAACAAATGTCTCATTGGTAATGTGCATACATACATATCTACTATAAAGCCTCGGTTTATTTTTCTTTTCTGAAGAGAAAACACAGTTATATAGTATTTAGTTTTTGCTTAGTATTGAAATCGTGCCAAATAGCAGCAGCTACACATTTCTCGAAAATTCACGTTGCCAGGCGTCACATTTCCTGCGTGTTCACGTTCACGTTATTCAGCTTTGGTCTCGCGTAACAGCAGGCTCGTTGTAATGAATTATGCCATCTTCGGTTTGTTCTTAGGCCGCTGGTCACTTATAATAAGTGTAGCAAGTAAACTTCACTATAATTCTGCGGGTCCTCCACATATAAATACATATGTGTGTAGATTTGAATATTTATCGTAACTTTTTAGGCTTTCTTCGATTACCCCAGAGGTTTCTCTTATTACATAGTACATACATCGTTTTATACTGATCTCTCTCTCGTTCAATGTCTATTACGCAATGAATAATGTCATTGCATGTTTACCACTAATTAGATTTAATTGTAATTTTATTTTACTGTTTGTACAATAAAAAATTAACAAAAGCCAATTGCCAACTCTTGTCTATAGTGGTTGATGAATTATTATTCAAGTTGTTTACCATAATTTAGGGTGCTTCAGTTTTATAATCTCAAACATACATACATACATACTATGAAGAGTTGACTTTGTCATGCACCTACATAAATATGTACCGATTTCACTAATCACCGAGCATTCTACCTCTGTGACCATAATAATGGGTGCTTGGAACTGGTTCCAAATCTATAAATTCGTTTTAAAAGTTTCGAGATTTCGTGAACACACCTTTTCTTATTGTTTTAAGCATAGGACAGAGAAGAAATTTTCGCAGAAATTCCAGTAACTCCTGTATGTACCTCTTTCGAATGGCCTAACAAGCGAAATACTTGCGCCCTTGCATTCTTCACAATCACGAAAATGAAACACAAAATGATTTTTCACAATTTTTTTTTGGGCACCCTTTATCTGTCGGTAAGTGCATACACGTGCGCGTACTTATCAAAGCAAAATGTCGCGTGACTCTTTTAATCTAAGAAAACCTTCCTTTTCAACAACTTTTTTAGGCATTGCAAGTCTGAAAATACTTTAATTATTTTCTTAATGTTAAGGACGATGTTATTTTGTAGGCGTAACGAATATAAAATTCACAGAACCCTCCCAGCTGGCTTATAAAAAATAAATACAAAAAATATTTTGAGAATCAATATGTAAGTAGTCCTGAATTATACATTGCTTGTATATAGAAATGATTCGTTTTTAAACAGATGTAAGATCCACAGAAGCCAAACAAATTTCCGAAAGCCCACAAAGAATACAAAAACTGTTCATTCACATCGCCTTCTGCACACTTGAATTTTCGAGTTATTCGAAAAATTGCAACTTGAAAAAACCGGTTCCAGATTTTTAAATTAAGAAAAACCAGATAAACCCGTTTTATATTACAGTGACTAACTAATAATAGTATTGACGGCTTTTATTTAGAAAAGATCAAAGCAAAATTGGTTTTTTTTTTATCAAAAGTTAAACAAATAAAAGTCAGTGAAAAATTACAGTTTGGTCTTATTTTAACTTTTTTAATAGTACTTTATTGCATATTTTCTGGCTCTTTTCGGTTTTGGGTAGTGCTCTTGCCGCCGCAGCCGAGCGCTTAGATGTGTCTGCTGCCACTCGGGAGGTCCATAGTTCAATTTCTGGTATCAGCAACATCATAAAATTATTTTTCAAATAGCGGTCGCCCCTCGCAAGACAATGGCAAACCTCCGAGTGTACATACTTCTGTCATAAAAAAAACTTCTTTGCATGTGTAGTAAAAGTGAATATCTTCATTTGTGTCACAACATGAAGAAGCAGAGCACGAATTGGATCAGAAGCTCGGTCAAATACGTAGAAAACTTTTTAGCATCAAACATTGTTTTATTGAAATCAAATATCATATACTGTTCATCCCCAAATAAGCCGTTTATTTTGAAAAGGGGCATAAGTCATTCCCAGCTCTAGTGCTTAAATGACCGATTTGACTGATGATTTTTATGAAATGAAAAAAAACCGGTGAAATGAAAAAATTCGGTTTATTCGATATTCGAAAAATCAAGATTAAAAAAAAAACGCCTATAGATATGTAAAAAAAAACGGTGTAAACTGGTTTGGAAAATCTAAGTCAATCGCAGGATGAGTTAAGCACATTGTATACAAAGTTTTGCTAAATAAAATTATCTTGTTAAATGTAGAAAACTGGACTTATTAGTAGAAATCTCTCACTCGAAGCTAGCGGAACACAATCAGCCTCATCGCATACGTCGTAAGTTATACTAATATTCACGACTCGACAACATCGCCTATTGTCGTGCTTATCCTTAACTTGACACGTTAGGCGTTATTAAGAATTATACAGCGTACCGTTACCATGATTATTCTAAACGAATGCATTTGAATATACGAGTATTTGAATAAATTGCCAGGAAACCGTTAGCGCCACAAGTACCGGGCCGGACTCAATTCTGGACGCCATTGTATTTATACACACTGACGTTTATAAATGTTAACCTGTCAAAACCATCGATCGCATTTGTCTTATTCAAATGGAATTATGTTCTAACCATTTCCACAATAAACCTTCTAGGCTTTAAAAGAAATTAGCACGTACTTTCATACATAGTTATGTACATACATATAAATAAGCAATTTCTATACCTTCTCGTGCTGTAAACTCTTTTAACTACCTCAAGTATAATTGGCAAGTCGACATTTTTGTATCGATAAATTTGATTAATTTTATCGTCAATAATAAACATTGTCACAAAGTATAAATGAATGAATGTTTGTTAATTGTTAATTGAACACGCAAAGGGGATTGAACGCTGTATGCTACCCGGCCATACGGCACACAGTGTAACGCCTGTGGCCAAAAATAGTAAAAACGAAAGTGGTAAGTTTAAAAATATTTTGTTGGGGATCGATCATAAATGCGCTAATTAAAAGGGGGCTAAAAGGGTTTTCACTATCTTCTCGTTTTAAATAAAAAATTTACTGCTGGAAGTAGAAGTTTAAAAAACAGTTTTTTTTTATTCAAAAATTATAGCTTATTAGTCTTTAGAAGGTTGTAACCTTTTTATTTTGTATAAAGCATTCTATTCTATTCTTCACTATATTTCAGATTTATTATTTTACGGATAAGACGCATATGCAAACCAAATCTAATCAAAATCGGTTAACTTTTAATATTTCCTCGCACAAGAGTGGAGAACGTGGCAGTAGGCCAATCTTGACCATATTTCAAATATCTTCTTTCCCACTTGACTTTCTTTCGTACTTTAACGAAGGCGTAGCCGCCTTATGGAAGTAGGAAATTGGAATGTACATTTGGTATCAGACGTATCTACTTTTAACCTCAGAACTCCACACGCAAACACCGATTGCCTACCAACTGTCATTTTGACAGATAGTTGCGAGCAATATGATTGCAAGTTTTTGTGTGTGAGCACTTTGATGTCTTGATATAAGCATTTGCCATATGTCGCGACCAGACGACATTCTCTCTATTTCAGTGTTTAAAAACATTTAAATCCTAAAAAACTTGCTAAATACTTTCCTAAAACGTGATCATAAATAAAATAATCCAATAGGGAACAGCTTCTTATTTTGATTACATATCAAAATTTCATCGATGTTACCATCAACAAGCTTGCTTTCAAATGAAAATATTGCTGCCAAACTACCAGACTGCTAGCAAAATAGATGACAAGCAATAAGCGCTGACATACATATATTGCAGCCCATAAGAAACAAGCGGTCTCCATTGGAATTATATTTTGTGACATGATTATCACGACATCATTATTTTCCTGTGGAGACAGGGTCTAAGCCGCTTTATGTAGAACGTGGCGCAATCGTTCGGAGTAGTTCGGGGTTTGTTAGTATTTTCGGCGGCATATTATTTTACAACAACTTTACTAATAGATAACATTAGTCATGATACTAAAGCTAAAAGAAAACATGGATTACCTCGTAAGGAGCTTACCTATTTTCCAACTGGGTATAAACGCAAGTACATATGTAAGTGTTTATCAAGAAAAGTCACATGCGCGCGTCACTTTTTTAAGATATTTGCATTTTTATATTTTTATTTTTCTTTATGTAAATTAAAAAATGAAACATTTAACATTTGCGCCCATATTCTTATATGTGTACTTACAGCAGTGTTCACGAAAATGGCAGCGCGACGTATTGGCAAGTTTGTCGATTTGATTAGCTTATTTTAGTTAAATAATTTGTCTATAAAAAATTGCTAATTATACAACAACAACAACCGTGCGAATCAAAGTTTTAAACTTTCTACAAAACAAAAAGTTCAAATTTTTTTATCAGATTTTTTAGAAAACTTTCGGGTAAGCAATTTTATAGCATTTATGTATATAATAGTGTAATACCGAGTTTCCACTAGACATTGGACATAAGTACAAAAAATTGGAGGAACTTAAAAAAAGGCAATGTGGAAATGAATTTAATGACTATTTTTTTAACGTTATGACACGAATATTTTTTAGTGCCCAACTTTGGCATTAAAATTTTTGTCATTTAATGCTTAGTGGAAATCCAGCATAAGTTTGAAGTGGCTCAAAATTCGCATCGACTTTGGAGAATTTTTTTTGTGGAAGGTGTTGCGCCTTTCCTTCGATATAAAGCATACTTAATTTTTTTTTATTGAGAGAAAATGCTATAAGAACTTTGAAATTTTGTGAGAATTTGTGGAATTTCCACTATTGAATTGTATGCTTTTGTTGTAGGTTTAACTATATTTAAAAAAAAAAATCATAAAAATAAAATAAAAGGAAACTAAATTGTTGAAACTTGTTGTCAATACGTCACGCTGCTCTTTTCATGAACACTAATGTAGTGTATACATGTGTATGTAGTATCATAAAAGGTTATTGATTTGATTGCATTTTTATTAAGTATTTTTTCATATTTTTTAAGCCTTCAAAATTTCCTTTTTATCTATGGGCATTTTATTGTGTATAAAAAAACCTGTAAATGTACATATAAAGCCATATGTAAAGAATGCGATTTTGTGCTTTTAATCTATATAAATGTAGTATTTGTAGGCGTATGTATAGTTAACATTAGAGATATGTAGAATATAATGTATGATGTATGTATGTATGTACATTTGATAGCGCCACCAACGCCAAGCACATTCAAATACCAAAGTCTACCATTCGCTGCACCGGAACACAGTCTCATTGACTTGACCGCATCCTGTCCACGCTGCTTGGCCGATGCTGCCTCTAAACCCAATGGCAGCGAAGGTGAGTCCACGCCGTGCGCGTGCACAAGTGTGTGCGTGTGTGTGTGTCTGTGTGTTAAATATGTGTATCCTTAATGTACGTTGGTGGGCAAATAAATAAGAACGCAACATTTTAATAAGTTT